TAACAATAAGGAGCCACCCAGGTGCCCCTGGCGTGTTTCTTTAAACCCAGATTCTGGGACAACTGGGTGGCTCAGTCGGTTATGTGTCTGATTTTGGCTCCGGTCATGATTTCAGGGTTCGTGAGTTCGAGCCCTGCATTGACAGCTCAGTGCTTCAGATTCTGTGTCTCCCTCTCTCTCTGCCCCTCCCCCACTCTCACTGTTTCTCTCTCTCTCTCTCTCTCCCAAAAATAAACATTAAAAAAAACCCTTGAAGGTTCTACATCCCTGTCTCAGGAGGCTAGGAGGCTAAAGAGGGTTAAAGCCATAGTCTGGAGGAGGAAGAAGGCTGCAGTATGGTTGAAGGTGATGGCCGTAAGCATGCTTTAGACTGACATCACATGTGCGCATCGCCGCCAGGCTGGGGGGAGCTGAAGCAGGAATGGATCGTCTTTTCCAAGAGCAGATACAACCATCCAAGCTCAGACATGGGAGGCGACCTGCCCAAGATCACTCTGTGAATTCCTTGCAGATGTGGGACTGGCTAGTTTGAAATAGGCTTCCCCCGACAATCTCAGGGCCTGGGGTGGTCCTGGAGGTTCCCCTGAGAGAGGAGGGACAGGCATGTGAATGTCCCCAGCCCCCGGCACAGCCCGGTACCCAGTTGAGCCAATGAGGGCATGGGTGGGGTGAATGAAAGGACGGGTGACACGGGGGCAGAAGGTGCTGCAGGCCTGGAGCTGTAGGAGCCTGGCTATACCTGATTCAGAGGGGAAGACGTGAGCTTGGCACGAAGCATATTACACTTGATGGTCAGCCAAGCTGAGCCGTTGCCGCTGGAAACGCATGTCTGGGGAGGAATGGCAGAGAGACACGCAGGGGATTAAGGACCGGAGCCTGAGGGATGAGCACACGCATCCAGAAGGAAAGGCTCCGGCGAGAGAGCCCACGAAGTGTGCGGAGAGTAGAGTCAGGACGGGCTGGGGCCCACTCAGAAAAGAGGCGTCCACAGCCAGTCACCCAGGAGCGCCCTTTGGGCCCCTCTTTAGGATAAAACCAGCCAACCTCAAAGAAATTGTGCCACGGGTAAGTAAAACTGTCAGTCAAAATAAAAGCGAAATCACGAGTTTCTGTTTGCTTGAGATCGGTGCTTCCGATCGGCGTGGCCACAGGTGTGGGAGAGCAAGTGGGAACGGGACCCGCCTGCCCCGCCTGTCAGGACAGGCCATTCTGCCTGTGCCGGGTGCTAGTTGGCACCCTCCCGTGGGATCGTGCTGTTGCTCTGGGCCTCCGTCTCCTCTCCTGGGTCTATCTCACCTTCCTCCCTTTCCCTCCTGTCTCTCTCTTTATTCACTCAGCAGATACTTATTCCTGGGAATAAAGCTCTTCACGGAGGGATTCAGCTGAGGCCCCCAAGTCTCCCACTGGAGAGCTTTCTTTTTTTTTTTTTTTCTTTTTTTTAGTGTTTATTCATCTTTGAGAGAGAGAGAGAGAGAGAGCAGGGGAGGGGCAGAGAGAGAGGGAAACACCGGATCCAAAGGAGGTTCCAGGCTCTGAGCTGTCAGCACAGAGCCTGATGCGGAGCCTCGAACCCACAAACCGTGAGATTACGACCTGAGCAGAAGTCAGATGCTTAACTAACTGAGCCACCCAGGTGCCCCAGGACAGCTTTTAAAGTGATGGATTTTTGGACTTGCCGATTCAAGGTACCTGAAAGCAGGGAGGGGCCAGCCACGCCCCCGTCCTCCTAGCCTCTCTGCTGCCCCTGGGAATGAATGGGCTGTTCGAGGCAGCCCTGCCTGGGCCGGGCCAGAGGCACTGATGCTCAGGTCTGGGTTCTTCCTCCAGAAGGTCCTAAACATATGATATCAGGCAGACTCTCCTCTGGCCTCCCTAGAGCCTTCAGAGCCTCTCCTTCCATTGATCCTGCAAACGCCACCAAACCCGTCCCCTCCCTCACTCCCAGCCCACAGGCACTGTGGCACAGCGCCACCATCGCCATCCTCCATCCTTAGAGGTGGCTCATCCTGAAAATCAGCCATGCCTAAACAGAAGGCACCACATACGGTTCTGGGTGACAAAGGCGGATTGCTACCTCTTGGAGCTACGCTGTAGGAGGGGAGATAGGCACATATATTTACCTGGTCACATACTGTATATGTTATATGACCTGCAAAAGACATATATAGATATTGTCATGTACTTATGTAAAATACATAGTAAGGGGCAGGGGGAGTCAGGAAAGGAAAGGAACCAGGCAGTCAGGGTGGGCCTCGGAGGGTGGCATTTGAGCAAAGCCCTGAGGGGCAAGCGAGTGAGCTCTGTCCTCCCTGGGGCAGAGTGTTCAGGCAGAGGCATGATCACATGGGTGGACCTCCCCACGGGGGGCCAGTGTGGCTGGAGGGGTTGAGGGTGGGGCCTAGGAGGAGAGGCGGCTGGAGAGGGGTCCGTGGCAGGCGGGCAGATAATTGAGAAGTCTTTGGAGATCTGCCGAGGGCTCTTAAAGGCCTCCCCAGACTGTGTGTGGAGACCGAGCTGCAGGAGGCCGGGGCAGGATGGGAGGCCGGCTGGGAGGCTGATGTCGTCATCAGGAGGTGATGGTGTCACAGACCAGGCTGGCGGCTGTGGAGGCGGTGGGAAGTGGTCAGATTCTGGGAACAGTCTGAAGGCCGAGCCAGCATAATCTGCTGACATATGGGATGTGAGGTGTGAGAGAGTCTAGGGAGGAGAGCCTTGCTCATACTCGCATTCATTCAGTCTGCTCTCAGGCTAGCCAACCCCTCTTGGCCTCAGTTTCCTCATCTGGAAAATGGAGCGGTTGGATAAATAACATCCAAGATCTCTTGTGTTTTGAAAAGCTTGGTGAAGCTTTTGAAAGTAGTGGAAGGCTTTGTGAATGTAGGGTGGAACTTGTGCTTAAGAGAGAGAGGTGCTTGGGGTGCCTGGGTGACTCAGTCAGTTGAGCTTCCCACTTTTGATTTCAGCTCAGGTCGTGATCCCACAGTCATTGGGATAGAGCTGTGTGCTGAGCGTGAAGCCTGCTTGGGATCATCTCTTTCTCTCTGTTCCTCTCCCCCACTTGCACATGCTCTTGCTCTCTTTCTCTAAAATAAATAAAATATTAAAAAAGAGAGAGAGGGAGAGGCATTCAGTCAGCACCACTGTAGAGGCGGAAGGGCAAGAGGAACATTCTTAGAAGGGCAGATGTGCTGATGGGGAGGCAGGGCCACATGGCCTGTGAGGGATGCTTGAGGAGCGGTGAGCAGTCACCGTGGCTGGGACCCAGTACCTTGGTAGGAAGGTGCCAGGTGGGCTTACTACACCCTCTGGAATCAGCCAGGAGTTTCAGGGGCTGAGCAGTTTTTGCAAACACAGAGGCCCTCAATTTTGAGCATTTTCAGATGGACACGCTCAGGCAGGAAGGACCAAGACTTGGCTCCCGTCTGGGGAGAGTTAACCTTCTGGCCCAGCATTGCATAACCACAGAGTCTGCTGAGTGCAAGGAGACTCTTCTGTGTGGCAGCCAGAGTGGCAAGCCTGGTGGCTCCGGGCTCTGGCACCGTCCCGAAGCAGAACAAACAGCCCTCCCTTCCCAGATAATGGCCCTCATTGAGCATTGTGTCCATGGCTAGCGCCCAGCACAGGGCCGCTCAGCCTGGGTAAGTTTCCTCTCTTGGCTCCTTAGCAAAATATTTACACAGTGCCTTTCTAGTAAGATGGTGCCTAGGATCCAGCAGGCAGAGAGAGCTGGAGAAAAGCACCCCCCGGTGACCCTGCTCCCAGTTCCCACACCCCACGTGTGAACCTGGGCTGCTCATTGCTCTCCGGGGCTCGTTCATAAAATAAAGCACTGAGCTAGAAGGTGCTTGATGCTCTGTCCAGCTCCAAAGTCACTGGCATTTTCCCTAATTGAAGAATGAGGTCCATTTTCTTATCATGTGGGGGTAGAATCTGGTTGGTCTTTTTCTCGGGGAGGCATGTGTATGGCTTGGCGGGGGCTGAAGATAAGAACTTGAAACCCCACATACTTGGATCCTACCTACCACACCACTGACATCAGAAAAGATACTATCTCTCTCTCTGCGTGTCTTTCAGTGGGAAGGAGGTCACCCCAGAAGGTGCTGTATTTTAAGAGGTATCTGGATCAGCCTTAGGGCACATGCACCCATGTTATCAGAAGAACATTTGAGGAAACTAGGGAAGAGAAGATTGTCCTCAACCATCCCAGGGATTGTCCTGGAGACGAGGGGTCAGAGGTGTGTCCTCAAGACGGAATCAAACCAGTGAGTTAAAATCACATGGCTCATTCTCAGGAAGTCATGGCAAACAATGGGCCTCATAGCTATTCTCACCCAAAACACACACACCCTTTGACCCGTGGCCTCATTTCTGGGAACCTGGCCTATAGAACAATCGCGTCCATCTGTAAAGGTATGCATGCAAAGGATGTTTAACGCAAAATTCCAGTGGCAAAAAAATTAGGAAAAGTATATGAAAACGGAGCAGTAGAGAAAGTTTGGAGGTGTTGTATCCAAACCGTGGCCCATTATTCAGCTATTAAAAAGAACGAGACAGACCCTGAATCTGTTTAGGAAAGCATTAAAGGGCAATGATTAGGAACCCAGGGTCTAGAGACAGATTGCCAGTGTTCAAATCTGGATCCCACTACTTACAAACTGCTACATGACCTCTCTGACCATCAGTCTCCTCTTTGGCAAAGTAGGGATTATAATAGTGCCTGCCCTATAGGCTTGATGCACGTGAGGTGCTTATGACTGTGCCTGGTCTAAACCAATCGCTCAAATAAATGTCAGCCTGTGGCCTAGAAAGATTGTTCAGGAGAAATGCTAGATGCAGAGAAATGTGCATAGGGTGATGCCATTTTTATAAAAACAAAAAAATCATCCCCCAACCTTTTGCAAAAAAAAAAGAAAAGAAAAGAAAGAAAAGAAGACAAAGAAAGAAAGAAAAGAAATATATATATACATATATATATGTATGTATATATGCCAAGACTTGTCTTTTGCAGGCGAAGAACGAAGATATTGGTTGATGGCTTGGTTTTACAGAAACACTCGTGCCCAGATGGGGCGCTCATCAGTGGAGCCCTTGCAAATCCAGCTCAAGTTCTCCAATCGTCTTCTCAGATCACTTCTGTTTGTGTGAGCCACACCAGTGATGCCATGGCCAGGTTTGGGATGCACCCTCTGTCTTGGTCGGCCACAGTCATGCTGATTCACCCCTTAAGTGCCACCGGCTTTAGAAGTGGAGAGAGAGGTGAAAAGCTGAGATGACCCCCAGCTAGGGTATCCATGGAAATGAGAGCCACTTCTTGGTTAAAGTCATTTGAGCTGCAGCACAGAGGATTATATTAGCAGGGGTGTGTGGGGGGGAACCACGCTTGTTAAGGGACACTATTTATTTATATATTTAACAAATATATTTAGGTTTAAAACAAATATTTCAACCAAATAGTAACAACAAAATAGACAATAATATAACAAAGAGCAGAAAATTCACCACCCCACTTGAAACATGCTTCAGCAAAATACAGTTGGAAGTCACTGCACAATCTGAGGTCCCTCCCTCCCGCCCTCCCAGAAGTGATCATCATCCTGAACTTGGCAGTGACATCCCACCAGTGTTTTCTGAGCACCTGCTATGTGCCAGGCAGAGTGCTGGGTGCTGGGTTTACCCTGGTGAACAAAATAGACATGGTTTCCACCCTTACGGGCTTGCTGTGGAGTGGAGTGAGACCCCATCCGTGTATTAGCCAGCCCCCTTCAGTGAATTCCAGTCTTCGGTTATATAAATGCTTACCCATCCATCTGGCGCCGTGGTAAAGGGGCGGCTGGGACAGGTCCTGACACTGTCGCTGGCCTTGTGATTTGGGACAAAGGCCTTCTGCTCCCTAAGCCCCAGTGTCTTCATCTGTCACATGTGGGCTTTAAGCCGGGGCCAGTGCATGGCCCGTCTCCATCACTCCATCAGGTGGAGGGGATGAGGGGAAGCTTTGCTGTCCATAAAGGGAGATGTACTCCAGTGCTTCGTGAGCTCCACTAGTGGGACACAAACTGTTAGTAGAACATGAGGTGATATTTACAGGAACGTGGGTGAAATTCTCTATGTTAATAGTAATTTCTTTAATTCAATAAAGTCCTAGAGTTCGACCTATGATCCCTATTGCTTTGGTGGAGGCTGTGTTTTAATGAGGCAAGTTCAAGTCCATGTAAATGAAAATATTACATAGATAACAGAACAGATGGTATGTGTTTCTGGCAAAACTTGGGATGATGGTCACCCGGTGGCACAGTGTTTCCCAAACAAAAGCTAATGATGTAAATAAAGGGCAAGGCCCACCCAGTGTCTTAGATTGCAGCAGACCCAGCCCAGTGCTGGCACATGGGAGCTTAGGTAGTACTAGAGGAATGACCTCATGGATGGCTCCCTGTTGAAAACAGCATGAGACAAATTCCCTTCATGCCTTAGCGCCAAGAAGAGCTGTGTTTTTTTTCTGAGCAACTGGAGTGTTTATCATCAGGACACTGAGCTGTCCATGTTGTTCTTTCCTTTCAGGGCCCTGAATCTGGGCCACCATGTGGGGTCTCCTCCCTTTCTTTTTTTTTTTTTTTTGGCAGTACTGGGGGGCCTCTCCCCTCCTTACCCATGTTCTTCTATCCTCTCTGGACTAAGCCTTGTGTCTTCTATTTCCCCTGGATTGATCTGTCATTTTTAATTCATGCTCCTATTTTGTTTTCATAAACCGTACCAGATCCCCTGTGGAATAAAGTAAGTTAAAATTGCAAACAAACCAAAAAGCAAAAAGAGAATTAACTATCAATTAATTAATCAATTCACGGACAAACTGCCTAAGACCAAAGCGTTCTTGGCTCCGCTCAGCCCGTTGGGGTTTCCTGCCAGGAGCCACTTCCCCGCTGAAAGAGAAGGTGGTGGAGCAGTTGAGCCAGCCACGCCGTGGGGACCCACACCTTTGGCTGAGCTTTGAGACCATCTTAGAAACGGGGCTCTCCAAGAAGAGTCAGAATAGCAGGTCCAGGACTGGTGGCCTTAACCCACCTCTCTCCCTACCAGAGAAGGTGATTTGCAAGTAGCTGCTCCCTTGGGCTCTCCTGAGGACACCAGAGGGGTCCCACCCCACAGGGAACATTCCAAGTATGATCCCATGCCTGACTGGTTCCTAACCACTGGTTCTGTTGCTGGCCTCAGGCTGTCCGTGCTGTGACTGCCATTCAGCTCCCAGACCTCTGCTGCCAGATCACATGCTGTCCTGATGGTTCCTGGTGGCCGGCCCCAACCAGTGTGTCACACAGGCATTATGGCCTCAGCGCCCCTGGGGCCCAAGATGCTATGAGAAACACCTTGAAATACTGACTTTTTTTTTTTTTTTNCCTATGTTTGTCACTGATCACATTGCCTCTTGTGTACTGTTTTGAATAATTTATTGTCAAGTTGGTTTCCATATAACACCCAGTGCTCATCCCCACAAGTGCCCTCCTCCATGCCCATCACCCCCCTCCCGCTCCCCCCACCCCATCTGCCCTCAGTTTGTTCTCAGCATTCAAGAGTCTCTCATGGTTTGCCTCCCTCCCTCTCCCCAACTATTTTTCCCCTTCTTCTCCCCCATGGTCCTTCATTAGGTTCCTCCTAATCCTCCTATATGTGCAAACATATGACATTTGTCCTTCTCTGCCTGACTTATTTCGCTCAGCATAACACCCTCAAGGTCCATCCATGTTGCTACACATGGCCAGATTTCATTCTTTCTCATTGCCATGTAGTATTCCATGGTATAGATAAACCACATCGTCTTGATCCATTCGTCCGTTGATGGACACTTAGGCTCTTTCCATGTTTTAGCTATTGTTGAGAGTGCTGCGGTGAACATTGGGGTACATGTGCTCCTATGCCTCAGCATTTCTGTATCCCTTGGGTAAATTCCTAGCAGTGCTATTGCTGGGTCAAAGGAGAGTTCTATTGTTAAGTTTTTTGAAGAATCTCCACACTGTTTTCCAGAGGGGCTGCACCACTTTACATTCCCACCCATAATGTAGGAGGGTGCCTGTTTCTCCACATCCTCGCCAGCATCTAGGGTCCTCAGATTTGCTCATTTTAGCCAATCTGACTAGCGTGAGGTGGTATCTCAGACATTTTTAAAGCAAACGACTGAAAACATTATGCTAAGTGAAAGAAGCCAGACACAAAAGATCACAGATTGTATGATTCCATTTATATAAAATGTCCAGGAGAGGCAAATTCATAGAGACAGGAGGTAGATAAATTAATGGTTGCCAGAGACGGGGAGGGGGGAGGGGAATGTGGAGTGACTGCTAAAAGGGACGGGGGTTCTTTCTGGAGTGATGAAAAAGTTCTGGAATTAGATAGCGATGATGGTTGCACAATCTTATGAATATACTAAAAACCACTTCATTGTACATTTAAGAGAGTGAAATGTATGGTATGTGAATTATACTAGATGCCACGTAATGTAGCAGGTTACAGAAGTTGTGTTTAGGAGAAGGACACTCAACATTTAGAAAATTTTATTCATTGGGGTGCCTCAGTGGCTCAGTTAAGCATCTGACCTTTGATTTTGGCTCAGATCATGATCTCACAGTTCATGGGTTCAGGCCCTGTGTTAGGCTACCCACTGACAGCATGGAGTCTACTTGGCATTCTCTCTCTTCCTCTCTCTCTCTCTGCCTTCCCCTCCTCACGCTCTCTCTGTCTCTCTCTTTCAAAATGAATAAACATTTTTTAAAAAAAAGAAAATTCTATTCATTAACAGACTGATAATACTAGTTTCAGAGATTAATATATGTGCTGCCGAAGCGAGCACCTAGTTTCAGAGATTAAAATACTCCTTTTTTCCAGAAAAGAATTAAGGTCACTTCTGTAAACTACTCATTAACTAAGGTTTTCCACAATTATAACTTCATTCATTCATCCATCCATCTGCAACCACCTGTAGGTGCCTACAGGGAGGACACAGTGAACATAAAGGTAATTAGAACATGGCCTCTGCTTCTAAAATCTGTAGGTAAAGATATAACAAGTGAGCTATTAGCTCAGTGAGGGGACGCAGTATAAACTGGCTCGCGCCCAGCCCTGTGCATATAGTAAGCAATCTAGAATGTGCCACTGTTGCTGCCATTGCGAGGGGAGCTAGATATGCCCGGGGCAGGAGGGCAGGGGTGTGATCCTGTCTGGGAAAGAGAAATCACTGGCTTGGGCCTGACATATTGGGAAACCCGTTTGTAGAGGATTGTAGCGTGTGTTAGAGGATTTGGAAGTTCCAGGAAGGGAGCAGGAAGTCCCTGCAGGTGAGTGAGCAGGGCTGGCACTTTGGAGACATGACTCAGCACCCAGCAGTCCTGGCTACCCTCTAGCACTCCCTCCCCGGGCCACCTCCTGGCTCCCTCTTCTAGATGCCCTAGAGCCCGCAGAGGCATGTCCTGCTGCATTTAACCCTGCTGGACTGGTGCTGGCCCACAGTAGGCCAAAGGCTACCCCATTTCTGCAGGATACACAAGAAATGCCATTGGGTCTTCTGAGGTTCTGAGCAAAGGAAAAGGCACCAGAGTCTCAAGGTCCCACCTCTGCCCACCTTCTCAGGATCAAAGGTGAAGGGTGGAGGCTGGGGCTGGCATTGTTAGGCTCTGGAAGGAGATACTTCAGAGGATAATTCTAGGCCCTGGTGAATTCATTGTTCATGTCAGTAAACCCTTCCTGGTTCTTGAGTTCAGGATACCATATTTGTCAGGGAGAATGGAGGCCAGGAGACAGAAAATTTGGGGAATCCTTGGGGTGCCTGGGTGGCTTAGTCGGTTAAGCGTCCGACTTTCGCTTGGGTCATGATCTCACGGTTCGTGGGTTCGAGCCCCGCGTCGGGCTCTGTGCTGACTGCCAGTTCAGAGCCTGGAGCCTGTTTCAGTCTGTGACTCCCTCTCTCTCTGACCCTCCCCTGCTCACGCTGTCTCTCTCTCTCTCTCCTAAAAATAAAAATAAATAAAACATTAAAAAAAAAAAAGAAAAGAAAATTTGGGGAATCCTGTGGGCACAAGTGGGAGGGAGTGGGAAGGAGGAGGTTGGGAAGCTGGAGAGGTGTGGGGCATGGGGCATGAACATCACAAGCATGTGGGAGGGTGAGATGAGGTCAGGTCCTGGGGAATAAACCTGGAATGGCAAGAAGTGGGAATCTGTCCCCACACAGGCCTTGCTGGAGGGCTGGATGTGGGCTAGCATGAGGCTTTCTGGGGTGGGCAGGCCACGGGGTAGCTGACAGACCCAGATAAGGAGCAGCGGACTCCAGAGCACCAGGGTAGGTAAGGTCCCCCAGAACCCAGCTGACAGCAATACCCTCTTTTTCAAATATGGGAATGGACAACACAGATCAGGGATGACTGTCCAGGAAGCACAGTGAGGTAGGTAGGGACAGAGCCAAGTAGCTAGATCCCCAGGCCTGAGTCCATCCCCTTCACCTTGAGCGAAATCCAAGTTTTTCCGTGTTTCCTTGATTAAATGCTGCCAGTGCCACAGGGGGAGGTGGTTAGGAGCACACCCACGGGTGCCACCTGCCAGCCTTGACTCCCAGCCCAACCCTTTATTGCATGTGTGCCCCTGGGCAAGTCATCTGACCTTCTGGGCCTGACTTGCCTCATCTGTAAAATGCACTTAAAGACATTACCTACCTCATGGGGTTACTGTGGGGGTTCAATGCACTTCAAGTTCTTAGGTCTGGTAATGTCAGCCCCCCTTGTAATGATCCCAATTGGTTCTCAGTTTGTCTTCTTGTCACAAGATGTGATTCATCTTTTTTTTTTTTTTTAAGTTGATTTATTTTGAGAGAGAGAGAGGTCTGGGGAAGGGCAGAGAGAGAGGGAGAGAGAATCCCAAGCAGGTGCCATGCTGTCAGTGCAGAGTCCAACATGGGCTCAAACCCACGAATTGTGAGATCATGCCCTGTGCTGAAATCATGAGTCAATGGCTCAAGGATGCCCCACAGTGATTCATCTTTCTTAAGTCTCCAGTCCCTTTGTCAATATATAGCTTATCTTTTCTTCTGGCTGTGTTCCTCTTTCCTGAATTAAAGGCTTTTGGTCCTGGTTTGTTCTGTAAGGAGGAACTGGTGGTGTGCTGTCCCCCATTCATTTTAGCATTTGTCTGTTCCTTCACTCATTTATTTGTTCACAATGCACTGGGTGACAGAGACCTGTACCTGGAGATCTGGGAAATGCAGAGTGGTATTTTCCCCTCCTGCCATCCTCAGCTCATGCCTTCCACCAGGGTAGAATTTCAAAACCACCTGGTTTCAGTTCGGAACGAGAAAAGGATGTAAGGAGGTATGCATTGCAAGGAGCCTTTGTTTTGTTTTGTTTTGGTAAGTCAGCCTCAGAAAATTCTACTTGACACCATCTTCTTGCTTGATGAAGACATAGCTAGAGAGATTGGGGGAGCAGGTAACAAGCTAGAAAATGCAGAGAACTGCTCCTCTCGAGGTCACAAATAGTGCATTCCCCAAGTGTTTTTGGAGCTTAGCTGTCATCAACAAAGGAAGACCAAAGTGAGAATTCCTGACAAGACATTGGGGTCAGAATTCCATAGATATGGAATGACTCTGAACTCCTGGGTAGGGCCAAAGAGGCTGGACTGGTTGTAGGCTGACTCCCCGGGTCCTCCCCTACATTGAACTAGTACAGGCCCTTTGCTGAACTGAATTTCGGAGGGGCTCTATGAGCCTGGCTTTGGGGAAC